CACCTGGTCCCGGGGGGCCTTATCATCTTATTGAAACTGCTGGGCCGACAGCTTTAAGGGCTGGCTTACCTGCCTTGTCTCGCCCTTACATTGGATTCCGTCCCTTTCCTCTGTTTGTTTTGTGTTATTTTTTCTTCTTCTTTTTTTTTTTGTATGTTCTGTAGGTTTCCTTTTTTCCTTCTCCAATTCTCAGGTAGCGTATTTTTAGCCCCTTCAGGTTTACACTTCCTAATTTGTTTTTATCATCCGGCCCCCTCCTATTATCCATGCCGCAAAAACACAACCCAATCAGACAAAAAAAAAATATAAAAATCCCACTCTCATATATGGAGTTAATACATTGGTTCAGTCAACGGCAGAATTTCCATTAATTAAAATTACTAACTGGCTCTATGTTTATTTAAAAATACTTCAACGCGATAAAATGTCTTTTAAGGTATCGAGTAAAAACTATAGAACTAAGAGACAGAAATTCAATGTACAATGAAATTCAATGTATAGTTGGAAAAAATCCAAATATTCAGCCATATGACTCTATAATGAAGATAAAGATTAAAATAACCAACATCTTTACAACGCAAAAGGCATTATCAGGACTGAAAAGAAAACGAACTCATGATCACATCACCACATCATATCCAATCGCATACTGAAAAATTACTCCTGATGGTAACTTAATTGACGAAACTTTAACTGATTATTTTATTTCTTACCTGAATTTTTGAAAAACACAAGGTTCTGTAATTGAAATTTTACCATATCCAAAATATATTAACATGGCAAATAACCATGATTTATATGGTTTATTAGGCTTAACGACGTTTGGAAACAAGCGTATGGATCCATCTGCGCTAAAAATTAATAAAATAAAAAATACATAAAAAAATACATTAAAAAATAAGGTTAAAGATATAAAGTAGAATATTAGTTGAAATAATTATATAGTTCGATCTCTTCACATTTCAGAAGTTTATTATTGTCAAAAAATGAAGAACCATGTTTTAAAATATTTTCATATATTTCGTTTTACCAATTCCTTCAGCTTGAAGTAACTATCATTGTTGTCTATTATTACGTTGTATTGTAATGGAAGGTGACCTCTTCTGATATTTAACTTACGTCAGACAGATTTTATCTCTCTATTGAAAGGAATCAATGTGTAAATCTTTGTGAACTAATCCACTCAGTACAGATTGCTTTCATTCATACACTTTTAAAGCTCTATTTATTTATTTATATTTATTATAATGTTAGTAATCTTTTAATTATTTATTTCATTGCTAGAAACCGATTGCAAGATGATGAGAATTGTATCGAGTAATCTCAAGAATAATATTTTCTAAACTAACATTTTAGAAATTGTGTTTACTTAATTCTAACTTAGAATAGATATATTTATTTCCTCCTTGGAGGGTTTGGAATGAAAACTATCTGAGAATGATAAGTCTGGGCGTTTGCTAGATAAAATAAACATGAACTTTATTAACGTGAAGCATTTCGGACAACTTCCAGTTTTGACTTTGTTCCCGACTAGATTTGATTTCTGGCGCACTGGCCACTCAAAATAAACTATGGTAATTAGATACCGAATCTTTGTAAAATCTGAAAATAGTGTATCGAAAAACTTGGAAAGTACAGTAATAATGCAGTAAAAACCCAAAATATGTAAAATTGAGTAATTAACTCCTAAAACTTGCAAAAATCATCTATTTTTTAAAATTTATTATATTTATATATATCTATATCTGATCAAACCTTAGGAAACTTTAGAAATACATAGTAATATTTATAATTTTCAAGCTTTAAAATACTTTGTCTTACCTGTTCTAAAATGAGGATCTATTTGTGATTTCTTACTACACTTGATTGATTTTTCTCAAAGCGTACCGATGACAACATCCTCGTTAAATTTCAACTCAGGGTAATTTGATATCCAGATTCTGATTTTTGGGGAGAGACTAGATCCTACTTTCAGCATAATTCTTTTTTTTTTTAATTTATAATAATTATTGAATTACTGCAATGCACTTCAAAATTAGAAGGGGTGCTCCAGGAAAATTCAAAACAATAACAAAACAGCTTATTCTGGGAAGCCATTTTTTTTATGTAGTCCATTACATTAAGCTAGTTTTCTTCCAAGAGTATTTCACACTTCAATTTACTTCTTCCTTCGTTAAACTTGAACCGTTGCTAGTCACATAATTATTTATTTTCTTACTATGGACAAGATAGTATAAAAAAAAGGAAGATAAATATTAATATACACATATATATTTATATTTATTATTAATTTGATATAGCACGAAAAATGTGCAATTTGATGCAACATACAAAATCGTGCAATTTAGGGCAAATGTAGCAAAACGTACAATTGCTTTCAATTTTAATGTGATATTTTACAGATCATAAAACGGATAGATAACCGGTTTTGAAGTTTTAACACGCAATATAATAACATGTGTAATAACATAGAAATCCGGCCTCTAATGATAATAGTTCAATAATTGTATATTAATCAGTCCGAGGATGTTATTATATATCAGCTTTTTATTCAAATTGTTAAATATCCATTATACAATAAACTATTAATATAGCTGCTGGAGTTAGCTTGGTAATGTTAGCGGCTAGACATGGGCGCCATTGCAGAAGACCCTTAGCTTATCTCGGTTGGAGCAGCTAAGACCACGGGACTACCCCCAACAACTTGGAATTACTTTATTACAGACTCGCCCCAACCTCTTGCCATTTCCTCTTTATCAATTATTCCCACTTCCTACCCCCTAATAAAGGATTTAATTAAAAATTGTAATTAAGGTGCAGGAACATTCACGACAGGGGGGCCCAGTTAGGGCTAAGAACATTTTGTTAAATTCCCTTTGCATCTTTTATATTTATTCAGACAAACGTTTCAGCCCTTTTTGAGTCGTTTAATTTAATTCAGCTGTTAATAACTGTGAAAGAGGTTTTGTCCATTACATTGTCCTTTCCGCCAACTTCATAATTAGCGTTTATTCTAATTTTTAGCAGAATCTCTGCGACTTGGCATAATTTGTTATTTATTACTACTCTCTCAAAGCAGGGTTTATAATCTGATTTTCCAGTTGGACATTTAAAAACTTCTATGAGCTTTTCTTCGCCTATTAATTTGCTTATTCATTTATTGAGTAATAAAACGGTCTGCCAGATCCAAGATTTAATTTTGGGGATTTTTTTTTATTTAAGAACGGTAATCACTTTAGAAGAAAAAGAATATAATTACAGGAAAAATTATACTTTTTAGGGATCAATTTCTATTATACTTTTAAAAGATAATGTATTGTGATTGTTAAGTATTTTGTTTAGATCACTCATATTTATTATTTATTTGAAACCAATGTTTATTATTTATTTATTACCCTGTCTATACGGGTATTTTGCAGCAGTAGATAACAGAAATGTATGCTTCCTGCTATCAACGCATGTCTGCTGAATTCAGACCAGTGACATATTATTTTATTCTTCAGCTGTGCACACGGCCTGTTCTTCTTTTAGCAGACGTCCTGTTCCTCCCTCTCTAGTGGCCTTCTGGATGCTAGTCCATCTCTTCTACTTATGAAAAGTGGGTTGAAGCAAGGGATTCCTTCCACAGGTACAAGAAGTCCATATAGTACGGGTAGTTCTTCTTGGTCATTAGTTGAGGGGATTACTCTCCTTCAGAACGTTTAGCACTGTTTCCTTCAACAACTTGGCCTTAAGTGCGTCAAAAGTGGTACAAACAAGGACGATTTGCTGTGCAGTCTCCGGTACTTCGCAACATGGATATAGGGCATCGATGTTCTTACCATATTCAACCAGTTTTGCTCGAAAACCCCATCTCTCTTGAGGAACTGTAAGACCCAGAAGTCCGGAAGAACCCATGTCTGTTTCCATTCTTGAAACAACGTTGGGGGAGCATTTATTAAGAATATATTATACTTCAATTTATCGATTTGTTATATCAATCAATTTATTATACAGTATTTTCTTAGTGTAACCCCTTTTGGCGTCGTCACACATCGCAGGTTCCATTCTTCTAATGTGTTCTCCCGAATAGTCCTCTTTCATCTATATGGTCTTCACTTATCCATCCTTGCACAAAAATTCATATCTACATTTAAAAATGGACCAATGAAAAAATATATATATTTTTACATTTTGCATCAGCTCGAGAGTCTGTTCGTGGATCTCCCCTCCTCGTAGATCCTCAGTACAATCTGCCACACCAATTATTATAATTAATGGTATCCAATCATAAATATAATGGAAATATTTACAAACTTGTTGTGCTTGAAATGCTTAATGTGCTGTCATGCTAAGTAGGCAGCACAGATTTTCAATGAATGGTAAATAAGCTATATGTGCTAACGTGCCAAAGTGTTATTAGTTATATTAAGGTTATGCCTGCACTGTAAACAAAGTTTATGAGTTCTTAATTTATCTACTAGCGTTTTGATTTATTTTTAAAAAGCCAAAGCTAGTTGAAAAGACTGAGCTTCTGTATTATTCGGTTAAAAATGATTTATTAGAGAGCATGAATGAAGATTTAGATGAAAAAGAACTAGGATGAATCCTAGCTGTCTTTACATTCCATTTCTGTGGATATTGTACACAAACAAAGAATCGAACCTTACAATAACCTGTTAAAATCGAGAGAGCTAGAGGCCATATTTAACACACATTTCGTAAATAATTTTTTCGACTTTACATATTTACAATACTTAGCTCTGGTTGCATGAATACCCCTAATTTCCTAAATATTTCTGTAACCTATGATTCTATAAAAATAAAAAAAAAATAAAAAAAAAAAAAAAAAAAAAAAAAACCTTCGATCGACACTGGGATGAGTTGTTCGGCTGGGCCCACACTCTCCACTATTAAGTGGGTACTTTTAATGAAGTAATTAATTGTTTCTTCTCTTTTTTTATTACTAAACTAAAATACTTTATAATAGATACTATATAAGTTCCTTTATTATGTTACAGTGATGACAGATACCGGCTGATATGGTTCAGTTGCTGGGAGTGGCTTCATTGGCCCTCGCCCTCACCGCGGTGGCTGGGACTTTGCCCGACTTGGAGTGCCCCGACGACTGTGATTGTCACTATTTTAGGTTGGTTTTTTTTTTTTTAAAATAATATATATTATATTATTATTAATATAATGTAGGAGTATTAATTAAATTATATCATATTTTATGTATGTATTGTATGAATACATCAAGTAAATGTGTACAGAGGAATATAATCACATTAAACACGCTTGTTGAGAAGCTTCCCACTGGTAGCACTCTAATAATTTCTGTACATTAGTAGATCACGAGGCCATCTTCTTTTCAGACGCCTCGGAGGGTTATCAGGAATCGAAGATGAAGCAAGGTTAGAAACAAGAGGATTCGGATGGTTATGAAGTTTATTATGGAAGGATAGGTATCTGGATTGGGCTAAATCGGAAACATATGGTACGTTAAGGTCGTTATGAATGATTTTATTTGTAACAAAGTAAGGAGCATTGAGGATTTTACGAAGGATTTTGGATAACTAATATAGTTGAACTTGATTTGGCTGGGAACTGGATAGGTTTCTGGATTTGGCCAAATCGAAAACATATGTAACATTGAGGTCTTTTTGAATTATTTTATTTTTTACATGTAAGGAGCATTGAGGATTTTACGAAGGATTTTGGATTGTAAAGATTTTATACGAGAGGAATTTGATGGTTTACTGGATTCCCATAGCTCAACTCCATAAATAGGTCTTATTATAGTCATGTCATTTGTAATTAATTAGAAGTTTAAAGCGTTTGTCCAGTAAGTGTTGGAGTAAGCGGAAAAGTTTCTTGTCGTTTCAGTCTTGTATGAGGATTCCAAATGAGACGTTTGTCCAACTGGAGTCCTATTATAAGTTAAATGTTAAAAAAACTGGACTTAATTTTATCGTTTGAATTGAAATGCCTTGTAAAAGTTAAACTGTTCGTAATTACAGTTTTATTTCCAACCTAAGGTTAATGAGGATATTTTTTTACTTTCTTAAAAACTTAGAAAAACATCTAAATTTCCTTTGAACGTCGATTTCCCCGGACGTATTTTATTTTAGAAATAAGAAACTTTTCACTTTAAGTAACTCTGCAGTTAAGTCATGATCTTGAGCCATTTGCTACATAAAAGAATTTGATTCTTAATTACCTGATGATTTATTCAATATTCAAATATTTTTTACTAATATAACTCCTTATAGGTGTGTTTTTATATTTTTAAATTTACTTATCTTTAGCTTATTTAATTTTTTTATTGTACATAGGTTTTGATTATTATTTTACTTTCATTAATTTTATATTTTCTGTATATATGGTGTGAATGTGTTCATATATCACTATAATTATTGTCCACGTGACAGATTATTATATTTCTAAATAAATAAATTAAAAAATATATAACTCCATTACGCACACAGCAATATGTATTAATGTGTTTAGTAATATATTTATATAACTGTTACAATTTTGAGCCATTTTAATCAGATATAAACAATCTTTGACGATGATTCCATATATTAAACCGTTAAAGAAACTAGAAAAAATAATTTCAGATATGATACCTAGATATATCTACCTTTTGATTTGGAATTACTTGAAGACAAGGGGTCGGGAAGTTAAGTGGGGGCTGCAATCCCATTTTTTCTTATATGCAAACTTTTCGGCCTAAGTTTCAGGCCTTCATAATAGGAAGAAAATAACGCTGTATGATATGTTATCTACTAATAAATAAATAATGAGAAATGAATAAAAATCCCGTTGTGTGTGACTCATTTTATGTATATGTTTCCGAAATATTGGAGGGGTTGTCCCTCTTCAAAAAATTTTAGAAGACGAAAACTGCCCTGCACTCCCCACTCCTATAACCGCCGATTGTGATACATAATGTTAAAATTCATAAAAACATGCTTAAAAGTTTAGCTTCATCAAGAATGTACATAGTTACTTTTTCCAATAAACAGATGACATTATTTGTGAGTATAATAATAATAAATTATACTGATGATAACATATCCTTTCAGGATAAACTGGGTAACTGACTGCTCTGAATCCAACCTGACATCTGTACCTACTTATGAAGAGGGACTCTCTCCCAACGTCTACGTCCTAGACCTCTCTGGGAACCAGATCGAGTCTGTGGAGACCTTCCCGGAGGATGTGAGGTTAAGGAGCCTCAAGCTGGCGGACAACCATCTCACCAAAGTCACCCACCAGCAGTTCTCGGGCCTCAAGTTCTTGTTGGACCTAGACCTCTCTGGCAACAGGATAACCTACGTCGAACCGGATTCTTTCAAGTGAGTAACTATTTTTAACATATAACTTTTATAAATTACATTACATTTTTAAATATTTATCGATTATTTTACCCCGTGTTCCATATGTAAAGGGAAATATTTAAAGAGATGATAATAAACCTTAAAGGAAATATAAAAGTTCATGTAAACAATGGTCCAATTTTTCTTAGAAAATTAGTAAATGTAGGATTTATATTTATTTTATTAAGTGTCACTTTTTTTGTCGAATAGAAAGCGATAACATAAAAAAGATTTAATTTAATATGTCACAAACGATAAACTACATAAAGACTTAAACGTACCTGCGATTTTAGATACTGCAAAAGAGAACTACAATAACTTTCACCAAAGACTGACGTACAACATGAATCCTCTGACAGAAATTCTTCATCGTACAAGAAACCCGTACAGCCCACTACGACGATTACGTAGGTGTTGGCCAAGAGACCTGCTGATCTGATTTATATCCAGGATGTCATGGGAAGCTGTGAAGCTGTCAAAAAATTTGCTCATTGCAAATAAATTTGCAGATTGCAAATTCAATCAAATGTTCTACATTTTTGTTTCGTTAATAAATAGATAAATAAATAAAAAAATGAATAAGCAATTATTTCACTGTAAAGCAAATCTTCACTTTAAATCTAAGTAGAGTTTATCTTTGTTTAAACCATTCGAAAGGGACTTTTACGTGACTAAACTACGCTAAATTCTGTTTTTCTTAAAATCGACGATTATTCATAATTTTCTTTTCTTTTTTTTTATAACTACCCAACTAGACTGCAGGTACCTTTTTAGAAAAACATCCTTATTTACCAAGATTTAAATTTATATTAAAGTAATTTCCCTGTAATTGCGGGATAGCCGGTAATGAACTGGCTGATCGAGCTACCAAAAAAGCCATTACTAATGGAATACCTTATCGGGGAGTACCTGTAGAAGATTTTATAACCGTCGTCAAACAGAAAATGAATACAAAATGGGAACAGACATGGTCGAATGTAACCGAAAATAAATTGACGGGTGACGTTTCCTCTTGGGCATTGTCAAATAGGAATAACCGCAGAGAGATAGTAATTCTTACGCGCCTGCGTATAGATCATACACGCCTTACTCATGGATACCTGATGGCCCATGATTCTTCGCCTCTGGGACTCCTCTGACAGTGAATCACATTTTAACAGAATGCTGAGCTTACGAAACTTTTAGACTATCTTGTGACTTGATAAACGATCTACACTTCATTTTACAGGACAATACAAATGAAATTGATAAATTGTTTCTTTTCTGAAATGTTCTAAACTTGAAAATACAATCTCAATTTTCAATGAAAATAAGGCAATAGTGACCCTAGCGGTTGAAGCCTTAGAATTTAAATTAAAAAATAAATAAAATATATTAATTAAGTTGTTGATTTGTTGAAGAATTTATGAGATTTACCACTATTTATGGAACAAAATTATATGATATTGTTTCACTCATAATTATCTGTCTTTTAATTTCAATTTTATAAATGATTGTAAAGCTTTGATTTTTTTCCATGACCTTAAAAGTATTATAATAAACAAAAATAAACTTTAAAAATAAAAATGTTAAAAATATTGCTTTTTCAAATCGATATCATCTGAAGTGATAATGTATCTGTGTTTAACCAGATTTCTATTTTGAAAATTGATCCTTATTATACAATGAAAATATTTCTTGCTAAAAAACAACTGGTATTTTGGTTTTCTTAACACGAAAATCGCCATGAAAAAAATGAATTGGCTTTTTTTATAAGATGTTACTTGTGACTATTCGATTCGTAAAATTAAGTGGATAATTTAGTCCTGTAAATTCAGCCGTTTTTCTTCTTGTTCCTCATCATCGGAAAAGCTAGTTAAGGAATGTTTTACCGAATATCAAATATATTTACAAGGAACATGCTCCGTGATTCGGTTCTGTCAGCAACGGAACTAGGATTTTTGGCATGAGGTGAAAAATTAAAAACAGCTAAACTAAAAAAATTTAGAAAGAAGTAATTTATACTTAACCTAAAAAAAAAATATTTTGTCGAAATTTTCCACCTTCTATATTCCCCCACTCCCTTAGTCCATCCCTATTTCGGACCCTGGGTGTTATGCAGCCTGCTATTTTACATATTACTTTATTTTTAATATGGTTATATTAATTATTATATTTAAATTATGTTTTATATTGTTTTCTTCTTAGGACTATTTTTTTCATATTTACAAAAGAATTTTAGATGGTATGGAAATAGATTCTAATTTCAGAAGTTAGTTCTAAGTTAGTCGGGGGTGTCTTCAAAAAAATACTATATTATATAATAGTATATTTAGTGCATTGTCCAACGTTTCGACCTACGTTTTCCCCACGGTTTTTACGAACGGTCTTCTTCAGGACTATATAAGATACAAAAAAAAAAAAAAAAAAAAATATATATATATATATATATATATATATATATATATATATATATATATATATATATTGGCTATTTAATTATATATAAACAATATCTCTTAATTATAGAATGTTACAGTAAATGTAAATAAATAGTAACATTCAGTTCAATTTGGAAAGGTAATGGATTATTAGGATATCTGGAGTATGTCAAGCGTAATAGGTAATAGTTATATTAAGAATAAAAATAATAATATTAGTATTAATAAATCTAATACTAGTGATGCGGCTGGAAAAGTGGCACTGGAATCTTCCAGAGTCTTGCTTTGCCTTCCTCGTGTGGGAGAAAAAGTCTGGTTCGGAGATTCTTGGGCGAATGTATATATTGCATATAGTTATGATTGTGTTTAGAAGTTTTTATTTTATTTTATTTGTTTATTCTTTTTTTTTCTTTTTATTTACCTTCTTCATCAGTATTGTTTATTTACTTCTTATATTTATATTTATTTCTTTATTATTTGTATATATTGTATGAATGAGAACTTTTAGCCCTAATGCTTATAGCCCTCCAGCAGTGGCTGATTGTATTATTATTCAATAAATAGATTTAAAAAAAAAAGTATTAATAAAAATATTATATATTTATTTATTTATTGTGTGTAATAAAAATATTAACTAATCATAATATTATTATTAATAAAAATAATAATATTAGAAATCATAAAAGTAATTGCTGGTCAGTTCTCGAAAAAGTGCAGATGGATGAGATAAGAAAATGCTTCCTAAAATTTCTTCTATATTCCTCTGAAATATAGAATTTTAGACTTATAACTATGCCTTACAACAATAGAAAATAGCAAGATTTAATAATTCCCGATCAATATAAAAATTCCTTTTCATGAAATGCTCAAACATTAATTTATGATACTGAATTTTTTTTTTTTTTTTTTTGGTTATTTTCGGCAAATCATCGGATTTTTAGTAAAATTCCTAAATAATTATTATAATATTATGTTGTATATTATCAACTAAAAATTGTATGTGGGTTCTGTAATTACACAATCTGATATTCGGTAGACTTAAATTGTTTTTTTAAATTCATTTCAAGTAAATGTACAAACTTGTGTTCGTAAAAAAAAAAAAAAAAAAATATATATATATATATATATAAAAGAAAAGAAATAAAGTAATTTGGTGAAGGGAGTAGAATAGGTTTTCGCTATTTCCCTCTCCCTGATGGAAGTTTAAAAGAGGGAGAAGACAAACCCTTTTTGATAAAGACGAAGACAAGGGTCGGTCGTAAATTGGAGGCCAGTGGGCCAAGGATCAGCCCTATCGCCGCCAGGGGATTTATTGCGTCGCTTCTAAACCGGCTCTAAACTGATCCGCGATTGTGTCTCCTCTGTCGGCCGATAGCTCCCGATCTATTTGTTACGGCAATCTGGGATCTCTAAGTCCCCCTGTCCGATCCTTATAAATTCAGATAAAAAAATTTAAGGTACTTTAAAAGAAAAAAAAAATGAATAATCGGTCGAAAAAAGCCCTGTTAAGTTGCATCCATGAAGATAAAATCTACGTTACTTAAAAACCGTATAATTTTACACTGACGCGATGAATATAATCAAAATATATAGAGCCGTTTTATTATAAATCATAAAAATGTGTTAAATCTATTATACAAAGTGGTACATTCGATTTGCCGGATTTTCGACGGATCTATACGTTTCTGAGACCCTTAAGTCCAAAAACATATTTTTAGCTATTGGTATGTCTATCTTTCTGTGCCAAGATTTTCTCGGAATTTTTGTTGCTTCTTTTTTTATTTTGTATGGTTTTGACTACTGATGCCTGTAACTGAAATTCGATGCTCCATGCTAAATAGCTTGCGCGAAATGAATGAAAAACATTTTTTTCTACAGACTGCAGCGCGAAAACGGCTCTAGTGATTTTGATGAAACTTTCCTATAATGTTCTACTAATTATTCTTTCAATTTTCGTATATGGACTAAATTCCCGAGAAAATTCAGGAGAAAATTTATGAAGAAAAGAAAAATGTTATGGGAGCTAACTCCCTAAGTATATATTATACGGTAAAATTTATAATGAAACTTTTGAAAGGTAATTAAATTACCAACAAAACAAAAAAAAAAACCAACGGAATCGAACCAGTATTAACGATGATACAGTACATTCTATTTTTTACACACGGTTTAAACTGTTTTTTGAAAGGTAATGAAATTCCTAACAAAACTATATAAAAATCGTTCATTATGGACAACTATTAACGACGTTAGAGCTATTCAATTTCCAATATAAGATTACGCGTTCATATCCTGGTATCAGAAAGAGGTGAATCAGAGAAAAAAGATGACTAAGTGAAAGTAAGAAAATCTGTTGCCCGCATCACACAAGCTTCTCAATATTTTCTCTACTTTTAACAGAAATTATTGTTTGACAATACTAAGCTATGGCAAAAAGTTTTTGATCAGCAATATTAGAGAGTATTGAAATTTTAACTCTGATCTACCTTAATTTTACATTAATTTTACTTAAGTTTACATTGCTTTAGTTTATTAAATAAATCGTACTCAAATCTTTTC